CGTAACTTTGAATCAGCTGTGTTCCATGAATGCTGCAAGTTGTTTGACAAATACGAAAGACCAGAACAACGCCACTTCATCCACAGTCTGATGGGATGTTAGTAGAGTACAATTGGACACTGGGACAGGAATTGACAAAGTTTTGTAATAGCCACCAAGATGACTGGGATGTCTTACTCCCTCCACTGTTGATGGTCTATAGAACAGCAGAGCACGAAGCCACTGGATACACTCCAGCAAAGCTGATGTTTGGTCGGGAACTTTGGTTGCCAGTGGACCTGATAATAGGATGCCCACCTTACAAAGAGTTGCCTGAAAATGTGTCAGAGTTCGTTAAAGTGTTATCTGAAAGGATGGATGATTTTCATCATCAAGTGCGTTCAAACTTAAAAACGTCTGCTGATTCCATGAAGCTATGTTATGATAAGAAATATACTAAAGTCAGCTTTGTACCAGGAGATAAGGTGTGGTTTTATAATCCCAGGAAGACCAAAGGGAATTCTCCTAAATTGTCTTCTCCATGGGAAGGCCCGTATGACATAGTGGATCGTCTCTCAGACGTGACTTTTCGAATAAAATGTGGTCGACGAGGAAAGCCAAAGGTGGTGCATGCCAACAGGCTTTGGCATTATCACATTCCAGGACATTTCAGTTGGAACGAAGTGAACAATGGAACAAATGACGCTGCTAAAGACATGTCACCTGAAAAAAACCACTGTCGTAGAAGATACTGGACCTGGTTTTGAGAAGGAAAACAGTGAAGCTGTTAATGAAGTTACTACCGATAATGGTACACTTCTTGATGGAGCAGATGAATCCCACGTGAAGCAGAAGCCAATGAGACAGAGACCAGTACGAAAGAAGAAACTCCCTGTAAAATTAAGAGACTTTGTTGTATTTTTATTTTGTGTTTGTAAATTCTGTACATTTAATTAAGTTATTGTTAATTATCTATTGGTTTAAAGTAAGTGGCTATTGTTCGGGACGAACAATACTAAGGAAGGGGCAGTGTTACGACAGCAAAAGTCACGTGACGCCGCTGGTTGCGTGTGTGATGAGTTTCTCGAATGATCGGGGAGGTCCGAGTTTGTTCGAGATGCCCTCTTCGTTAGTATATAAGCCTGGAAGAGTAAGCCAGTAGAGAGAAATGAATGAGGAGAGAGCAGTAGTTACTTTGAGTTCCGTGTAATTTATGATTCTGTTAGTTTCGAGCTAGTGAGTCGTAAAGTGTGTGTTTTGTCTTCGTCGAGAGCGAAGTTATCGAAATTATGAATCGCTGTAATTTATAGCGTGTATTATAAAAGTTGTTAAGTTTAAAGTGACGAGAAACGTACTGATTGTGGAACTTCTGCGTACTAAAAGTTTGTATCGAGGAAGAATAAACTGGTTTAATCAGGAAAGGACTTGTATCGCTGAAGATCCTCGAATAGAATTTCTACCAGAAACAAACAAGCAAGCAGATACGTTACAATATAAACAATCTAGTAGATGTTCTCAGTCTCACATGTAAGAAGAAGCTACTTGATACGGTATAAACAACTGCCCCGTATCTCTAAAAGCAAGTATACACACGCTGTGTTTGCGTTAAGTCTGTTCTAATAAACATTATTTATTTTTACATATCATTCTGTCCACTATATATATTTCATTTTCAGAGATTCATTACTAGTTTGTAATAAATATATTGTTATTAAGCGAACGTATCCTGTTGATTAAAGATTACCTCAGTGTTACCTGAATACACCACGAATATCACTTTCATTGAGCACACTGTTTTAACAGAAATTGGCAAAAATCCGGAGAAAGTTCTAAAAATTTACTGAGATCTGCAGAATAAAATCGGGTTTTGATACCTGTGGTGGGCAGAACACAGACAACCCTTGGGTGTATCTTTGCGCTTGACAGCAACCAAACCAACCCGAACTATAATAAAAATTTTAAAATTAGCGGCGCTACCATCGTATAGTCTATGCCCGATTTGGAAAATACAATTGTAAGTCAGAAGTAAATATTACTGGTGGAGTGTGGAGAATGTGTGTGATTACTGTTGAAGAGTGAGAAATAACTAATACTGTTAATATGCTCTTGTGCTTTACAGTTTTGATAGAGGTTCATGTTTTTTGTCATTCTTGTTCTTATGCTACATGTTATGAAATTTGAAAAGTTTTGCGTGATACAGCTGACTCCTCGACACTGCTTACACTTAGTGACTTACAAAATACAAGTTACTTAGTTAGACTGGTCAGCATAGAATAATATCAGACTAACCCATAAATTTTGAAAATAAAAATAATAATGGATGATGATAATAAATTTACCCCAGAGTTTGACACCGAAGGTAGGAACACGGAGCCAGGAAAGGAAACTGGGCTTTCAACTAAAGTTATAGAGTATGAAAAATTTTTAAATGATGTCCTCAGGGAAGATTTGAGGTGAGCAATTTAAATTGTAATTTGTATAACTGTTTCTAAATTAGGCTTAAATTGGAACTTAGAAGTACTTCATAATAATAAATGGATACCAAGGTACACCCACCTTTGAGAATAATCAAAATCCACCCATTATATTTCAGGAAATTATCGATTCCGCTTTTATTTTTAAATCCCACTATTCCTAACTGAAAGTGAAAGTCATTTCATAAACCAGTCACCCTGTTAGCGTTAAAAATAAAAGTGTCTTATCTGAAGCCTAACATGTCTTTTTCCAAATCTTTCTTACTATCATCATATTTTTATCAGAATATAGAAGAAAGAAATTAGTGACCTTTATCTTATTGCTCCCCCAGATAATCCCTTTACTCTTCTTTTCTGAATATAGAATAAGATATTTAAATCTTTCCATATAAGATGCCATAAAGTCCTTGGAATAATTCTAGCAGCTACCCCAAAACCCTTGCAATATGTCAATATCCCCTCATATATCAGAAAGCTAAAACTGTACACAATATTCCAAGTTAGGCTCATTGAGTGAGTTGAAGAGAGAATTAATCCTTATAACTTGTAATCATTATGTCTTTAAATACACCCTAAACTTCTGTTAGCTCTACTTCTAGCAACAAAACACTGATTTAATGGCTTGAGTGACTTACAACTATGTCAAGATCCTTTACACTATTGAATGGGTTCCATCCATATTAAATGTGATTGACATTATGATAAATCCAAATACAATTGCTATAATTAAAGGTCATTTGCCAAATATTTGCTAACTAACCAACTGATCCAGGTTGTTATGTAATACCCAATGTCATCAATACACCTAGAAACACGCATAAGCTTAAAGTCATCTATACATTTTACTAATTAAGCCTTATCAACATAATCGGTGTAAATAAGAAAAAGCAAAGGCACATGCACTGCCCTACCAGACACTCCACTAGAAACAAGAATCTAATCTGACTATATTTGCTATCTTTTATCCAAGCATCTTGCAACCCAGTTTACTAGTTTTTATACAACCATTACTGATATCATTGTCTTAGCTAATCAATGGTATGGAACCTCATCAAAAGCTTTTTGGAAAGGCAGAGGTTATGTAGCAGCTGGCTGCTAAATAAAAACAAATTGTATTTTAAGTTTTTGCTAGTTCACATGTTTTGAGCAATTTCATTGGTTCAGACTGGCTGCTGTATAAAGTAGCTTGTGATATTAATGTGGCTGAACACTTTTTTATAAATAGATGTAAAATGTGCATTATAAGATTTCAAGTTTAAAAGATAAAGTTTATTGTAAATTTAGTCTCTCATTTTTTTTTAAAGGAAAGTAGACCAATCTGACTGTGTAAGAATAGATGGCATCTTAACCTTCAACTCAAAATGATCCATATCAATTTTCAAGTCAATATTACAACTTGGCTAGTGCTGCTATCTACCTGATATTTTCTGTACTCTATCCTCAATCAGTTAATGAGTATTAAGCAGAGTGGATGTGCTGATACAGATCTCTTTTTTTTTTATTGCTGTAATCATTTGTTTGTCATTTGTGGGTCATTCTGACCCCATCGTTTATAAAGATAATATTTCTGAAGTTTATTACACATGAGCCATTTTGAACCACCCTACCACTTATGATACAGATATTTTACACTACTAGTTAATGGTTAAACACCAGCCTGACTTTTGCAAAAGGCCTGGCATGGCCAGTGGTTAGGGTGCTCGACTCGCAATCTGAGGATCGCGGGTGTGAATTCTCGTCCCACCAAACATGCTTGCCCTTTCAGCCGTGGGGGCATTATAAAGTGACGGTCAATCCCACTATTCATTAGTAAAAGAGTAGCCCAATAGTTGGCAGTGGGTTGTGATGACTAGCTGCCTTCCCTCTAGTCTTACTCTGCTAAATTAGGCACGGCTAGCGCACATAGCCCTCATGTAGCTTTCCATGAAATTCAAAACAAACAAACTTTTGCAAAAGAACAGTTGTCATATTGTGTATCAGCCACTTCTTAAATTACAACTAAGTGTGATTGGGCCTAGTGGAATTTTACTTCACCAACATTGATGAAATATGCAATCTTATTAAAGGGGGATTTTTTTTCTTACATTTTGGCTAGCCTGTATGTATAGCCAATCTGTTTTGAACATTGAATTACTTGAAGCCCAAACCCTTTCTGTCATCTAGGTAACATATATATAGCATCTTGGGAAAAAATTACCAGATTAGTAAGGAAATATTTTCCTTTAGTGAATCTCTGTTAATTTTCTGGTATACAAGTAAGATTAACTGGACCATTATATTCAGGGCAACATAACACAAAGTTTACTTGTAAATTGTAAATCTTTTTTTAATTAAATATTACACCTTGTGAAACAAAGAAGACAGACTAATCCAATCATTATCTCTAAAATTACAGTTTTTCATAATAATAAATCTGTTTTTACTGTCAGTATAACAAATTAACAGCCTGCCTTAGTGTGTCTACATAATCCCATTAATGTCAACAACCTTTTTATACAGGTATATAAAATGCATATTTATAAATAATGATTTTCTTCCCTATTTCTTGAAGGTGATTCAACAGAAGCAGACATGTTTTCCAAGCTTAATGATATCACTTCCAACAAACAAAAACGTTTAAGCCTTATTCTGAATGTATAGCCACACAAAAAAAAGTCCTGTATGTATATGGTTATTTGGTAGAGTTATTAGCTTCATCATGTTTATGATTTTCCAGTCCAATATACTTGCATTAGTTTCTTGAATTTGCCCTGTGTAAAAATACTTCTTTATTTTTGTAATATATTTGAATGCTCCTTTTAACTTGAAAGTCAAAACAAATAAGGAAACAATTCTTGCATATTAATTATTAGCTGTGAGAATATTTAGCAAATGAATGATGAATAGAAAAATTTATAATCTGTATGTGTTGTATCACTATTACATGTTTCTGTGAAATTTTTGTCACTATTTAATTTTCTTTTTTACACTTTTTTAGGAAAATTCTTCAAGAACGTGATAAGATCTGCACAAGAATTGCAGAATATGATCAACTGAAGACAGTGATTAGTAGAATTGAGGTATTTATTTGGTGATTTTGATGTGTACACTAGAGAGGAATGATTAGTGGAATATGCTGATTGATTAATCATCAAGCTCATCAATCAATTACATTAAACTAATCGATTATTCTCAAGAGGTGGTTAAAAACTCAAAAACTTGTGATGCTTAAAATTGGATTTCAATACCCACTCTGAGCAGAGTATAGCTTGTATAGCTTTGGGCCTAACTACAAACAAATAATAATTTGCATAAACTTTTATTTTAATTCCTTGGTTATTGTTGTGAGTTGTGACACTAATTGATTAAACTGACCAAACTTGAATTAATCAAAAATAATGAAAAACCATGATGGTAATAAATTTGTAACTTGATGGTTGAAATAATTGGAAACACCAATTTTGTCAATTACTAGGTAGTTGCAATAATAAAAAACAAAGTAATATTTGGAAACATTGCTTGATTATTTTCATGGCATTAGTTGATCGTAATTTTAATTATGGATTATTTCACACATCACTAATTGATGCATTAGATTGATTTACATATTCATGGGTAAGCTGTCAAGTAAATGACTTGTTAATTGTTCACATCTGGTTAGTCCGGCCTTGATGCCTATAAGGTTTGCAATAAAAATGAATACAACCTTAATTGAATTATCAAGCAGCTTGTTTTTAGTGTTTGATAATTTATCATGAATTGTTACTTGTTGAACCTTTGAAGATGAATGGTAATCGGTAATCAGCTTGATTGTTAGTTAAACTGAAGAATGCTTACTCGGACTTGTAATTATTACATAATAATCACACTCACTTGTTTTAAAGTGGTGAAAATTGTTATCTTTACCAGTTTCAAAGTGACTTTTTTGTTAAAGTACTTCACAATGTCACAAACAACATAGAACCTCCCTCCCCAATCACAAAGTCACGAACATCAACACACCAACATGTATACACATTGAACAGATCCAAACGTAACAGAGTATCACTATGACATTAAGGTAAAGCATAACTGTTACACGTGTGTCAGCATAGTCACTAATAATTTAAGATTGTGGAGCTTCACCTCTAGAATTTGACATCCAAAAGAATTTTACCCTCTAGTTCTGATATCTTGTGGAGAATGCTGATATATAGTTCTGTTGGTAAGATCATTTTTGTACTAATATAACAGTTAGATGTGACATGGTATTAATCATTTTATAGTCACAACTTGCAGCTACAAGCATTCTCATTCTTGACATGGGCTGGCAAAAATCCTTATACTAACCACAAAGTTGTGTAAGTATTTCAAAAACCCATTTTAAAAATGAGAGTCAATTTTGTGTGTGTGTGTGTTTATGCAGTTGTGAACATGTATATGTACCCTTGTGTTCCAGTTTGGTCATATTGTTTGTATGTGTTTGTTTTGCTGTTGGGTTTTATGTTGCCTTATCAGATCAAAAGTTGAACAATTTAGAAGAAAGTAAATCTTCAAAGTAGTCTTAAAATTTAATTTGCTTCCAGTAATATTCAAGACAACCTGTGTAGTCCTAGATTAAAACTTTTCTTACGACTGGGTTAATAGCCCTTGCAAACAAGCCAGACCCTACTCTATTTAATTGTAAACCATCCATTCCAAAAAGCTCTCTTCTCCCATTAAACTTATCCCACAAGTCCAACAAGCCACTCTGCTCAACTTACATATTAACCTAAGCCTAGCATTTAGCCCTAGTGACCAACTTATAATTTCTTCCCCACAGTTAATTCTTGGCAGAATCCCTGACACAATTAAATTATGGTCCTTTTCTTTAAATGCCTTTATTGACCCCTTGTAGTTATTAATTAGTTCCCCTGACCTACCTTTCCCTACATCATTAGCTCCCACGTGCACAACAAAAACTACATCATTGCTAGCCCCCTTTGTTATATCTCTTGCTCTGTCAGTTATATCCTGGGTAGCATAATCTAATTCTTTTCTCCCTACTTACCCTACAGACTATCCTATTCACATGCCTTGTTAAAGAATCACCTATAACTATAACACCTTAAGTTTATCATCCACATCTTCCTCTGTCCTTTTTGTTTTTCTTCCCTACAATAATTCCTCATCTGCACAAGCCAAGGGCTAGAATCTGTTGCTCAACAGAACATGCTCACTACAATTAAATCCACTAGTTTTAACCCTAATAGTACTGTTTCTAACTTCCTGAAATTCACTGTTAGCTGATGTATCCCTTGCACATAAAAGCTTAAGTTTCTCTTGAAATCCTGCTGCCATTTCCCACAATTTACACTTCTATTTATCTATTGCCTCTACTTTAATTAGGGTAGTCTCCAACCTGCAAACTCTATAAACAAATTGCACACCTTTAGGACCTTATGTAGGCCTCAGCATTGAAACCATAGGTCACCCACTTATACAGTCCATGTTGGTGCAGTACATAAAAATGTGAAAATCCTGCACAGTCTTTATATATATTCTGCTTAAAAAAAAAACCTGAAACAATACATTTTTTCTTTCATATAATTATTTATACTAAACTATAATTAATTTTAAAGGTTAACCATCTTGTTTTCTCTGCATTTTGTAATAATATCTCATTCCAGAAAGCTGCATCAAATTCTGAGTTTTTTCTTGGTCATTACATTGATAATTTATACTTTATTTTGACAAGAGTTTTGAGAATGGTCAAAACTGATGTACTTAGATTTTCAAAAAATGTTCAATAAGCTTGTTGAATTGAAAGCTAGTTGGATGAGAGTAAGCAAAAGGGTGTTATTAATGAACCCTTACTACCAGTGGAGTGTCTAAGGGGTCAATGCTTGGGCTTTTTCTTTTTTATATTAATGAAAGTGGTAGGGGCATATTTAGTAAAGTTTGGTATTGGAAATTAAATTTCCAGCCATATTAAGTTTGCTAAAATACAGAATGATTTAGATGAATTGGTATGTTGGAAAATGATGACATTTGATTATAGTAAGTACAAGGTAATTCATTTGGGTTATCATAACTTGGATCATGTTTAATACAGGTGGGAATCTGCTTGATAGCTGTGCCCTATTTGAACTGGGTAAACAGCTCTTTAAGCTGGTTTAAATATACACGTAAGTATTATTAACATCTTTCACAATAGTTGTAGTTGGAGAAGGAATGTTGACTGTAATTCCAAATTTACTATGTATATCTACTTGAAAATGACAAGCTTTTAGTAAAATGTACAAGTCTGTTGTACACAAACAATCAAATGTCCTCTTCAAGATGTCTGTAAGTTGTTTATGACAGTCTGATTCAGACCCTGACATGTTCATGTGAAGAATAAAATACCTTTGTCCATCCTACAGTTTGCATATTGCACTTACATAACATCTAGAACCTCTGAAATGCATATTTACAGTTTTTTCTACATTCCTATGTATTTTATGTGGTATTTACCACAAACTGTTACTAAATCAGCAGTGTAGGGTAAAAGGAATAGTTAATAACTTTAACATCAAATACATAATACCATGTTGAATGGCACTCTGTAAAAGGTCATGCATGGCATATGAAGTTTTACCCTACCCATGTACATAGGGTTAAACATGTAAAAAACTGTAAAGAAAAGGTAACTGATTGTATTTAATATTTTAAAGATTTGAAAATATAGGATATTATTTACATTTAGCTGAATAATTCATTTTTTCATTTTATGTTTACATACGAAGTACACAAGTTATTATACATAGCATCCACATTTGAGAAAAGATGACACTAAACAATCAGAAACATTATAGATTAGTATCATATTTTCAACTCTATAGGTGTCTGTTTCAAAATGGCACTTATTTAGTTTATAAAGTATTTTGTTGATATAGTGTGCAAAGCTTTGCTTTTCTTGTTGATACAGTGAATATAATTTTTACAGATTTTTTTTCACATTTTTTCAGATTTATTTTTATTGCTTTTTATGTTAGGAAACTTCCGAAAAGAGCAAACCATTGAAGACTGAAATTGATTTTGGTTGCAATTTTTATGTTAAAGCTGTTGTGTAAGTTTTTATTTTATTTTTTCTGAGTGTGTCATTAACATTTGAATGATTTTCACCAATGTTAAATTATTATACCTGCTTGAATTTAATATTTGTCTTTTTTAATTATTTCAAATTTAGTCTTCAAATGTAGTTTTATGACGTAGGACATTCAATATCAAAACTTGAAGTTCTAAATGATGTACCCAACAATGATATTGTAATATTTTTTCATAAACAAGTTTTTTATATTTTGTCCTTGTATATAAGCAGTTGTAAAGCATTCAGCATTTGAGAACAGTTGTCTACATGTTTAAGTCATTATGGTTCAGTCTAACTATTATTACCACCCCACTTCTTAGGTAGGTTCTATAAGATTCATTCATATTTTATATCATTGAAGTGCATCAGAAAGTAATAATGCACCAGTAGCTCTTTCTTTCAGAACCAATTAACAATTCATAAATGCTACTCACCTCTCCACAGAACAGATAGCTCACACCACAGATGAAATGATTTTGCAATTGAAGAAAACATGAAATGAAACTGGCATCTCTATACATATTAACATATACTGTGCCAGCATATGCTGCAATCATCATTAAAGTATAGCCCTCCACCAATAGGAAAGTAACACATCCTCCATGCACAATACTCCTCTTGGATGCATTGTGTATGCCAAAGACTCGTTCTTTTCCTTGATAATGTGGGATTCTAGCTATCTGTTCAGTGGAGAGTTAAGTAAAATTTCAGAAGTTAACATTTCCTTATCTCTAAATGTATTTCAAATAGATAACTCTCTACAGAACCACTCACCCTTCTTCCCCACTTCTGGGATTGGTATATATAGTATGCTCAATGGGAGTACTGCATATACAGGATGTGTCACCTTTATATTGGGGCAGTATATGTTAATAATTGTAAGGGTGGGAGTTTTGTTCAAGGCTTGGCATATGTGCAAAAGTTTTTTGGCTGTAGTGCAAAGTAATAGCTATCTGTTCTGCAGAGAGGTGAGTATTTATCTCGAATACATTTTCAGGTGAAGAAAACATTAACATTTGCAGTAGTTTTAATGTATCATTGAGAATTTTTATAGTCACTATAAGGTAAGACTAAAGAATTAAAAATTGTACACTTAAGTAAACTTAGGTACCAACATAGTCATTCAAACAAGATTTTGTGAACATAATTTTGCTTTATGAGAAGACATTTAAGATGGACTTTAATATAAGCATTAAACTTCCTTTCAGTATAAACTGACTGGTACCTTCGTGTGTACTATATTGCAGCGAGAAAAATAATTCTAATTTTCTTTGATTAGCTGCTAATTGATGTACCTAAATGTATTTTGAATTTATTGATCCAATCAGTTTTGTTTTTTCTTATCATTTGTTACAGGTGTTTGTATGTTGCTTTTAATTTTTTGCAATTATATCTTACAAGTTTAATCAATAGATGTAATGTTTTAATGTAGTATTTAAATGCATGGGTGAGAGCTGAAAATTTTTCCAGTACTGAAAATTTCCAAGCATTCACAAACAAGTCTTTTTCCTCCAGCTTTTTTAACACACCTGTAATCATCATAGTAGTAGGTGTGTGGAATAAATTACTATACTGTTGCAATTATGAATTATTGTACTTAATACAAAACTCTACCACCCATGTATTTACATAAACATTGTTTAAAATGCTAAGACTAGATTTCAGGGATTGAAATATTACATTCCCGCATTCTTAAGCTATTTAATTTTGCTTGAGGAATTTCATCTTTGTAGTTGGCTTTCTAAATTGGGAATGCATGGTCCTTCTGTATTCCTTTAGTTATGACCTATGAAAGTGAACATATTGCATGGATTAAATAAAATAACAATTCATGAGGAAATGCAACTTTACATGAGGGAATGTAATCTTTCTGATAGCTTTCCCTCAAGTGAATATAATTTTATTTCATTATTTGTATTCCTGGATTTATAGAAATAAAGATAGTTCTGGTTCTCCTTTTTGATCATAGACAGAACTGAGTTAGTGTTGTTTGTTAGAAAGATTAAATTGTGAGGATTAATATAGTGCTCTGCAGTGAAAAATATTTTACCACTGACTGAGATTGTCCTTCCCCCTAGCCCTTCACTATTTAGATTTAATCACACTTAACTCTTTCAGCATGGGCTTGGTCCCTGGGACTGAACTCGTAACCATTTTGTGCTTGTTATAGTTTCATGCTATAACTTTTAAATCAGTAAGCATATGTTAACGAAATTTGGCAAATTATCAGTAAACATTACAACACTTTCATATGCAAAATATCAGTTTTTTTTTAAGTCTTAAGGTTTATTAAGCAGTGTTTTTCTCATACCTTTTTTTTTTCACTTGTTGCCCATTTAACATGCAAAGTAATTTTCATTTTAAGATTAAAAATCATTTTATGCATCAGAAAATTTTCAGATTTCACATGTGAAATCTTTATAATGTCTAAATAGTATGAAACGTTTTTTAAGAAAAAACTTTATATTTTGTTATTTTCAGGAATGGAAAATGATGCATTTCTCATTCTAAAATGAACACAAATTATAACATGAAAACATAAATGTTTAGACTAAATAGCTCAAATGTCATAACTTTATACATTTATATATATATATATATTTTATTATACTGACTTTTCAACCATGCCTGGTTAACAATACAGAAGTTACAATGATGTGCTCTCATGTTACCATATCAAATATTATAAAACTGACCTTTTAGTCTTTACAAAGTGACCTGTCTTGGCTGTGTTTTAGTCGACTAGTATTTTGTAAAATACAGTCACATTTCCATTATTATACATTACATATGTATATAGATTAGTACTATTTAGAAATAAGTTCTTAAACTTATTTTTCTTAAAACATAAAACAGTAAAGAAATAAAGCAAACAATTATCT